TTCTTCCTTCCTTCCTTCCTTCCTTCCTTCCTTCCTTCCTTCTCTCTCTCTCTCTTTCTCTCTTTCATAGGCGTATTGAATAGCGTAAAACAGACAAACCAACTTGTGTAATTTTAGATGGCATTTGGTGGCATAGTTCTAAACTGAGATTTTTCCTTCTTCAGATTTTTCATCCTCAAATAGATTTCCTACTCACACTGTGTTTGCTTTTTTAAACCATGTCTCTTGGTATTGTAGTGGCTTGGACAACTTTCCATTCAGTTCACACAATAGTTAACTCCCAGGCTTTGAGCTACATGACTTGCCAGTTACTGAGCGATGCCATTTGAAGCACAGCCTCAGATGATGCACCCAGGGCTATTGGCTTGGCAAGCCTCAGACATTCTGAGCAATGGGAGAACTGCACACTCGTTTTTGAGGGAGTCATTGTCAGTCATTATTTGCTCCCCACTATTATCAAAGGCTAATGGTTGGAGAAGATAACCCTCAGCTTCTTCAAGGAAACACTTCAACAGCTTCGGGAAAATCTGAACAGATCATGGACATATATGGAAGGAGAGGATCCTTTTCACACTCATCTCTGAATGCTCTCACTTGCGAATGACCTTAGTAAGTCCAACTTATTCCTCTTCATTTTACTGTCCAGAGAAAAATACTCCATTTATGCAGAGATATGAACCAAGCACTAACTGCAATCTTTGTAGTCTTCTTTTTTTCTTTTCCTGTTTGTTTTAACTCATGAAGGAGATAGATTGTCCTTTTCTCCTGTCAAGTTTTACTGTGCTTCCAGCAACATTGTGTCCGAGCACCCATCCTGCGTAGTTATTTCAGACCACTGCTTTTGGGAGACCTGCTACTTCAGTTACTACTTCTTGCTGCATTAACACTAACCTCTCTGCTACATTTCCAGCTATTCTGTTTGTTCCTTATGATTGAGTCTCAGATGGTCAAGATTCTGGTGCGATCACCATTAACATTTTTCTGCAGGTTTAAATGCCAGCAAGACTGGAAGCTTCCCAGGTTGTTTACTGAGTGACCTTTGTTAGACTGTGATATCCTGTCTTAAGAAGTTGTTTTGAACCCCGGGAAACCAGGGCTCATGACAGAAAATTTATGATTGGGGTGAGTGGCTCTGTTTAACTAATCATTACACAAGTTAGCCGCAGTAAAACTTCTTCCTCTTGGATTTGATGTTCTTGACTGCTTGCCTGTATAAATTCACATTACAGCATGTTAATGGACAGCCTGGTTTTAAGGATGAACCAAGTCACTTGGGCAAGCTTATTGACAACAGCCAGTCTGCATTAACAGGAACAGTGAGCACTTAGGAAGTTAACAGGGAAAGGGGTGTAAAATACTCTCACATGCTCACAAAAACCAGCTGCAATCAATGCTGCTAATTCTCTTTTATGAGATAGAAGAAGATAAACAGTGGGAGAACTTGTTCCAGAGCTGTTATAACTGTTGTAATGATGGCACAGAACATGAGCAATTACTTTTCCTAGTGATGTGTTGCCTTTGTAGTCTTAGCAGGATGCCAGTTTTGCTAAGTAACCACTTACTTAGCACTTAGTGTTGAACGGTACTTACACATGATTAAACTATGTTTAACTCTGATAAATGACACTCAGAGATGGTCAAAAATTGCTATCTCAAAATAATGCCGTTTTGCCTGCTTTCCACCTTTGTGTCTGAAGGGAATATAGTGCTGAGCAACTACCTATTGTACTACATATTATTTTTATTTAACTTTAATTAGAGTACTTTCTGGAAAAGGGACTTAGATATCTTATATATATATATACAAAAACGTAAAAGTCAAATTCACTCAAAATATATATAACTTAAAATTATCTTCATTAGCTTCAAGGGAAACTGAATAGACCTGAGAACAATCTGGATCTCTAACAAGAACCACCAATTGTATCATGGAACATTGCAATATGACAGGAAGTTTGTTCTTCCAAGATATCCTCCAAGGCATCTCCTTAGCTGCCATTTAGCACCCATCTATTGAACCGTATAGAGAAGAAAGCTCAGGGTTTCTGCTAGTCCCATGGGCTTAGCAATCTTGAACACTTGTCAAGGGTAATTCCAGCTGGGTTTCACCTAGCATTAATATATCAAATTTGTTTTTCCTTTGGCTATGACTTTCAGATATGACAAGAAATATGGGGTCCATAAAATAGAAAGAAAAAGGGGAGGGGAGGAGCACACCATGTTCACAGTGTATTTTTATACATATTTACAGAAGGAAGAGCTGTGTTATCCAAACTTGAGCTTTCCCCATGGATGAGTCAAACATAACGTTTCATCCCAGCGAAGGCCCAGAGAACATCTCAATGCACAGAAACATTTCTGCACAGGAAATGGTCTGGGAGATATTGACCCCACTTTGGGTAATTGTGATCATCTCCTTCCTGGGTTTTTGTGAAAATGGAATTGTCCTCTGGTGCCTCTGCTTCCAGGTCAAAAGAAATCCCTTCACTGTGTACATCACACACCTGTCCATTGCTGATATATCCTTACTGCTTTGTACATTTATTCTGTCCGTTGAGTACATTGCTGGTTTTGAATCCTCATACGGTGTTTACTATTATATAACCACCACACTATCTATTGTCTTCCTTCTTGGATATAATACTGGTCTCTATCTCCTGACAGCCATCAGTATTGAGAGGTGTCTGTCTATTGTTTACCCCATCTGGTACCGTTGCCACCGGTCACAGCACCAATCAGCAATTGTATGTGCAGTTCTGTGGACTCTGTCTTTTCTGATGACAGTAGCTGAACACTTAACATGCAAAGATGATTTAACAAATGAACAATTTGACAATGCCAACCATTGCCAAGCAGTGCTCGTCTTCACATGGATCTTGACTTTCATGATCTTCATTCCCCTAATGATTCTATCCAGCCTGATCTTGATTATTAGGATTCATCGTAACTCCCTGAGACCTCATTCGTCAAAGCTCTACATCATCATTGTGGCCACAATCATTGTCTTCCTCATTTTTGCCATGCCTATGAGGCTGTTGTATCTTCTGAATTATCACCACCGGTCGTCTTTGCTCAGCCAGCAGAACCATGTCACCGTTGTTCTCTCCACTGTTAACAGCAGCATCAACCCCCTTGTTTACTTCTTTGTAGGAAGCAGCAAGAACAAGCGGTTCAAGGAGAGTCTCAAAGTGGTTCTTAGTAGAGCACTTGCTGATGGGTTGCGGCCAAGAAGCCAGGAAGCTGGCACCAGCTTGGATATAGCTGAAACAATTTTTTAAAGCTTAAGGACAAAACTCTAGGGGCAAATAATTGGACCTGCAAGATTTAATAAACTGCTGCAAAACTGAAAAAAAAACCCAAAAACCAAAAAAACTTCCATATAATGTAAAAGGCAGTGGTGAAATGGTACTGTTACCTTTGGTGGTTCAGCAATGGAAAAATATGGACTAGAATAAAGATAACTTTTATTTGCATTTTCTTAATTATTCAAACACATGCTACATTGTGATGTGGTTCTGTCAGCCAAGGACACCGCAGTGGAAAAGAGACAGGCCAACAGAGAATATAAAAAAAAAGGACACAGAAATATGTTATAAATAGCATGACCTTTATATGGGCTCTGAGCACCCATAAATGCTATTGAAGTCATCAGGGCCTGTGTGTATTCACATTTTTAAACGTCAAACCCACTAAACACAAGATTCACGTTAGATATGGGGATTTAGTTTCCGTTATTTCCAACTTGTTTAAGTGCACGAAAGAGCTGCTCCCCAGAGGGAAGAGAAGGAGAAATTCACATGTGAGATTAAGTCCACATACTTACCCACAAGCATTGAGTGTAGCTTTGGTCTAAAAAGATATTTAAATATACGCTAAACAATCAAGTTCCTCTGTGGCTTGGGAGCCACTTTAAAGTCAATTTTCCAAATATATGTTGCATAATTTCCAGCTAAATCAACATTTCTTTGATTCCTCCTTCAAGGTTCCCTGGATAATTTGGCACCTGACACACAGGAGTAGCAACTTAGGAGTGTTGGCGGCTCACAGCAGGATTTTTGCCCTAATTGTGAAGGGTGGGGCTGGCGTATCTCCAAATGTGAGTGTTCTTGTAGGTTTAGTCACTCAGGGAGTCTATGAGAAACTTGGTCCTAATGTTTGCTATCCTGGCCATGTATTCAGAATTTAGTTGCCCTCTGGAGAATATATACTGCCTTTGTGCTCTGTTTTAAAATAGTTTTATAACAATAGGGAAAAAGGTACCTCTGGTGATACACGACAGGCACTACACCTCAGGGACATCATTCCAGCTGACTGCCTCATTCTGTATACCAGGGTACTGGGGCTGGTATTTTGTGGAGTTTAATATCTACAGCCACTTGCCCAACTATAGATAAGTTGCAAAGAAGAAGACAGCAAGTAAGAAATGAGTCTAGATCAAATTTATCATACAGACACAGAGCACCAGGTTCTGATTGCCACCTCTAGCAGTCAGAGGGCTGTCACTTTTTAAAACAGACATGTCCGAAATGATACACGCCTTCTAGTCCCCACTGAGCTCCATATTCAGCGGGAACTGAGAGCTCCTGCCATAGGCAGAGGCAACATCTTCAGCTTCCCGCCAAGTTTCCATTGGCACACTCAACAGCTAATTGGGGAAAGAAAAATACAACCTAACCCTCCTTTGCTGAAAGACTGCCAGCCCTGGAATAAGGAAGATGCTAGGTTAAGACTTAGGATTGGATGGGAATTCATGCAGAAAAGAGGTGGCAGGGGGACAAGTACTCCTTCTACACATGCACTCTTCTCTCGTTACATGTAAGTGTTGCAGTGCTTCATTTTAGAGAAGACTGAGGAAGAGATTAGTTCAGTATCTTCCCACTTCCCCTACTCAGCCAAAACCCACCCCTATGATAACCCCTCGTCTGTCCTAGTTTTTCACTTTGAAACTTCCCAGGCTACCCACCTCCACTGATCTATGTGGTAGCTGAGTACAGTAATCTTCTGCCTCTCCCTTTGGGTATTAATCTACTATATTACTGGAATGACATATCAGTAGAGCAGCTTCGCTCTACAGACAGACCATGCAGGATAAGGCTGGCAGCTTTGTCAGCTCACCCTAGGGGAGACAACGGGAATGAGTGTGTGGGGTGTGCATGGATGTGCTGGAGGCTGGGGAGGCAGTTAGGGCATTTATCAAAACTGAAAAGAAAGCTATCAGCTAGAACATTAGATCTAGCCCAGAAACGAAACAAAACAAAACAAAACAAAACAAAACAAACAAACAAAAAAATATTATTCTCTAAAGCCATGCAGTGGGCAATATTGTCCAATTCCTGACATTTACCTCAAGACTCTTTGGAATAACTATATGGAAAATCAGAATAAGGAGCAAAGGTAGAGATGGGGGTGTTGGTTGACAGCCGTCTGAATGTGAGCCAGCAGTGTGCTCAGGGGGGCAAGAAGGACAAGGGCCTTCTGGCTTCTATCAGGAACAGTGTAGCCAGCAGGACCTGGGAAGTGATCGTCCCCCTGTACTCAGTGCTGGTGAGGCCGCACCTCTAATACCCTGTTCAGTTTTGGGCCCTTTGCTGCAAGAAAGACACTGAGGTGTCCACACTGGAGTGTGTCCAAAGGGCAACGAAGCTGATGAAGGGGCTGCAGCACAGACTTAATGAGGAGTGGCTGAGGGAGCTGGGGTTAGTCTGGAGGAGACTCAAGGGAGACCTTACTGCTCTCTACAACTACCTGACAGGAGGTTGTAGTGAGGCGGGCGTCGATCTCTTCAGAATAACTACAGATAGGACAAGAGGAAACGGCCTCAACTGGCACCAGAGGCGGTTCAGGTTAGACATGAGGAAGACTTTCTGCATGGAAAGAATGAAGCACTGGAACACGCTGCCCAGGGAAGTGGTGGAGCCACTGTCCCTGGCAGTGTTCAAGAAACATGTAGATGAGGAGGCACTTAGGGACATGGTTTAACAGGCATGATGTTAAGGGCTTTAGGTTGGATTCAATTAAAGGTATTTTCCAACCATAATGATTCTGTGATTCTATTTTATGAAATTTGCAGGAAGCATATTCAGAACTTACTTCCATTGTAATCACACAGGTAACCAGCTCACCTGGATGATTCAGGTGAGATAAGGAGATAGTGCTTAAATGGACCCCAATTATTAAAACAGGATCACTATGCACTCAGCTGGGGCAATATTTCCAAAGAGGCAATAACATACAACAGAGTGGTTTGCATATCTGCGAGTTGCACAAAGTGCTCTAAAACTTAATGTCTTACCCCACTTCATCTGTGGCTGTGCATATCCTCAAAGTTAGCTGAGTTTGTATCCACTGTCTACAGGTGAGTATACAGAGCAAAGATTAACATTCATTAGGAAAGAAACATCTAGAGGCATAAATGGACAGCAAGCGGATGGAAAATGATTAATGTTTCCCAGCAGATAAAAAGAGTATCTTAGGGAAGTGCTTTCTTTTCTTGTGCAGTGCATGGATGACTCTTCTCTTTGCAGACTGGCTGTAATGCAAGGGGAACAGATAAGTACTTTATTCCACTGTTAAAATATCCAGGGAAAACATGACATTTCATTTATTGCACAACAAGAATGTGATCCTCCACAAGTTTGCACTTTTAAATGATTTAAATCGGTTGGAGAAGGTAAAATAACCCTGGGCTGATCAGGTGATGTTAATACGTACTTTGCAGTAGTGTAGAACAGGAAGGATTGCCTTGTGGGGAAAGTACAGGCTATGGAGTCGAGAGATGTTGGTTCTGGTTTTATGCACTTTTGGCATGTAATCTTTTCTGTACCTCACTCTCCTGCTTTTAAAATTAGGATTATATTGTTTTCTCTCCTGTGTTGTGCCTCTAGTGTTCACACTGTAAACATTTTGGAACAGAAGGCATCTTTTGGTTGGTAAATTTGTAGTGCTCAGAGTAATATGGTGTGTACTCAATGCAAGGATTTGTTCAGGGATGAAATGTCTGGTACAGAATTTTATTAATACCTCCTTTAGCATACGCCTATCATATTTGCTACTAATGAGTGCTGTGTGATATAAAAGTATGGTCAGAAATGCAGGGATGGTAGTGAACTCCCTTGGCAGCACACAGAGCTTTTTCCTTTAGTAGGTACAACCCTCAGGACAGAATGACATGGGGCAGACTACAGTACGAGAAAGACAAAATGGATTTATGCAGCAACTTTCCTCTGTAAGTTATTGATTCTGTGAGTGATCCTTGAGGCATCAAGGGCAGAGGGGTGAGGGAGAACATACTGCTCATTTTACTTCTGGCCCGGAAATCCTCTAGGAGAAGCTGAAATGCTTCAGTTCCACTGGTTGCTGTAACATAAATCTCACCTTGCACCTTTCCCTAGCAATGAAGTAATCAACATGTTGACGGCTCTTCTTAGTTTAATGCCCCAGATAACTTTCTGGGGAGAGGATATGAGGGACAGCTCATTTACAGGGCCATACAAAATGTCCTAGATAGATCTTCAATAAGGTCCTGGCCAATTTTGTCCTCCAGATGCCTGTAGTGCTTGGCCCTGTAGTCACACAGGAGACGTTCCCTCCTGTCTGTTCAGCCTCTGCCAATCTCTGGATGAGGGTGATCCCATAAACACAACGCTGTGAGCGGAGATGTTCAGCACAGGGCATCCTGTATCCTGGAATTCCCTCTATGAAAGATACATGATCAGACTATGCCCAGTGAGATTGTTCAAATCATTAGCTGACGTTATTATTCATTTTGCATTTTTTCCTTGCGCTACTTTCTTGACCTACAAATATTCAAAGCCTTAGTCAGTTATGCTACACCTAGACTGTGTGCGCTGATCCTTGAGATGGGATATGCAGCCCTTCGGTATCCCCACTGTGATGACTGTGGACGAGTCAGGATGAAGCCCGGCCACCTACCCTGGGTCTCATCCTGACCCTTCTGCACCAGTGCTGCTGGTTTCTGACAGAAAGGATTTTTCAGTCACTCCTTTAGTTCAAGCACTGGCATCCATGGCTGGTTGATCTTTGTGGTGAGGAAACTGGTCAACAGAGGGTATTCTCAGAGAGTAATTAGGTCAAGGGAAAACAACAGTTTGCTTGGTATGGACTGGCATGTGTGTGCAGCTGCCATAACGAGCTGCCTGTCATGATGAGTGTGCTTTGCTGCTTTCCTCTCTTTCTGAAGGTAGAAATCATTTCTTAAAATCTACTCTCCAGAGCTTTTAGCTACATAAATGAGATAGGTCTAAGCAGGTTTTCATTC